CCCCCCCCCTCTCCCCCCCGCAGGTGTGGTACAACGTGGGGACGTTGTACGACAGCTGCATATCAGACCACGGATGCACTGGACGCTTACAAGAAGGCCGCGGAACTTGGCGCCAGCGGGGGATTCATCCACGAGCGCATAACGGCCCTCATGAAGAAGATGAACATCTCTGGCGGTAGCGGTGGCGGGGGTGGAGGTGCAGGGGGCGTGGGAGCGGGCGGGGGTGGCGGCGGAGGCGGCGGCGGCGGCAGCGGAGGGGGAGGGGGAGGGGGGGGCATGGGTGGGGTGGTGGGCGGAGGAGCAGGGGGTCATCGGGCACAACCGCACCACACGCGAGAACAGATGGACATGAAGGTGCAGTCGCACCTCGGTCCACCGCCACCGCAGCAGCTCCCGATCCCGAACGGTCTCGGGAACGGGAGCGGGAACGGGAGCAGGGCGGGGAACGGCGCAGGGCCCGGGGGTTTGCACCACCACGGGCAGGCGGGCCAAGGAGGAAGTCACCCTGGTCAAGGCCAGCACCAGCAGCAAGAACAAGGTGGTGGGGAGGGGGGGGGGCAGCAGCAGCAGCAGCAACAACAACAACACCAACAGCAGCAGCAGCAGCACACGAGGTGATTTGGTTAGCTCTCTTCCGTCCCCTACTGGTGCGTTTTGCGGCACTGCGGCGATCAGTCGGTAAAATCAGAACAGGCGTTGAGCCACAAACGAAGCTTGCTGAGAGTCTCGTTACACAAACTCGTGTGACGTATCTTCAGTTTTGAGAGTCTTAGGAGATGTCGTCCACGGTTTGAACTGGGATAGAACTTAAACAATTCCTAAAGAGGAATGAATTCTCTTGTTAGGAAAAAAAAACATATATATATATATTCAAGGTCTCCCTTCGGTCGTTCGGTCAGTCAATCTCGCACCTATGCTATGTAGAACCCGAATTTTAATTCTCGCTTATGGTTGCCTCGCCTCCACCCCGACCTCTGATTTGCTACGCATGTAAAATTTATGAGAACACCTACTTGTAGAACTTGACGGACGACGTTAGTCACAACTGCTGTTTACTGCTCTGTCGCACGCACGCAACTGCATACAGTTCGGGCATGGGAGGAGGCGGAGGAGGGGGGGGGGGAGGGGGGGGTAGACAATCGCAGGCATGACTCATGACTCGTGGCTGTCGGGGGGTCAGGGAGAGGGGGATTTATGGACGGGAGGAGGGGGGGATGAATGGTTTTTGGCGAGACACGGCGGTGACGGCACGTCACAGCAGTGGCAGAGGGAGTGGCGGCAATGGCGACAACGAGCGACGGCAATGGCGACAAAGGAACGACGGCAATGGCAGCACAAAAAAAGAGCTATGTCAATTCCAGCGAGGAGTGACATCGCCACCCACGAGAGGGAGAGAGCACCTTGAGCGACGGCTGGCCGAACACGACAGCGAAGTCTGGGGGGGCAAAGAAAGAGACGGGGGCGGGGGGGGGGGGGGCGGGGGGGGGAAAAAGAAACCCGGCCCCCAAAAAAAGGTTTGAAACCCCCCCAAACTTTTCCCCCCGTTTTTTTTTTTGGGGAAAGGGGGGAAAAAACCCCCCCAAGGGGGGGGGGGGGGGGGGGCTTCCCCCCCCCCCCC